CTGGAGATATCACAAGGACGGTAACCCAGGAGAGCCAGGTGGAGGATACGCCATCTGGTAACAGCGGGAAGTGGGCGGCCATTAGCATAGTGACCTCCCAGCTGGTTCACCCCGTACCGACCACCTGTTCAGATACGTCATTGCAGCTGGTTACGCGGGCGGAAAAAATGGCGTCGAAATTACCCTGAGACTTTACTGTAATTAGGTAATTACTCCTCTTTTACCTCCTAGAGAAAATATAAGCGTACGACTCCTTGTACATATACGAATACTTTTGTCGTTTATATAAGATGCTCATTTGTTTTTGTGAATGGTGAGGTTTCTCTTCCTTATTGTTTAAAGATCATGACACATTTAGGTCCTGACCATCAAAGGTTTCTGCCTTAATTGTCCCCAGAACTAGAGGTAATACAATATAATGTATCTACTTATTGTATCACTACTTTTTTATGGCTCCAACCCCCCCGTTATATCCATACTTTCTCCACACAGTTTATTACCTACTACTACTACTACTACTACTACTACTACTACTACTACTACTACTACTTCTAATAATAATAATAAAAAACAAATATAATGTAAATAATTATAATAATAATACTACCACCACCACTACTACTTATTATAATTACCATAATAATTGTAATCGTTAGTAATCAACTAATTATAATACCACTGTATAAATCACTATTATTGCTAACCTCAACATCACTAACACTATACTGAAGTATTATAAGTAGCAATAAGTAATAAAATAAAGTAACTTACCACGTGAGGTCATGTAAAACTTTCACTCCCCAGAAGTCGTAAGTAATCCTGTACTTTTTTTTATCACCAAGTTTTTAAAAATCTAATGATGACGAAAGTACTATTTCATACGATTACTTTAAATACTTTATAGAATCGTAAATAAAATGTAAATACGGTAAGTATATCGTCTACGTCACCGATTAGCGAAGCGTCAAGTACACTGACCGGCTCTCGTGTCAACAATCTCTTGTGATCTGTCGGACACACAATGGCATCAGCATCCACAGTCTTTCCTTTTATATACCTACGCCGACACTATGCTTCCCCCCCTCCTCTCACCTCTTCCTCTCCTTCCTGGCCCACTGTCCCTCCCACCCCCCCTCTCCCTCCATCTCCCTCACCACAAATCTTCCTCCTACATCCCTCACCTTATCCCTCCCCTCCTCTATCATCTCCTCCCTCCCCTCCTGCTCAACCGCACACACCCTGTCTTCTCACACTAAATCCTGTGTCTTTTCTGCCCGCTTGACAAATCCAAATATTGGATCTCGGTGACTGAAAATGAAGAGTAAATAAGGATCAACTCCCAATAACAACTGAAATCAATACCGGAAGGCTTTCTTTGATATATTGACGACATTTTAGTCTGTTTGTCCATCAGGAATACTTAGCAAGGCGAGGTTTGGTGACGTGACCGTTCAGAGGGTCGTCGATTTGATGGAAAACGAATAAAAAGGAAACAATGGCTCGTACCCCAGCCAGCATCCGGGTAATTGGCTGGTGCCCACTTTTCCGCGCCAACAAGTTCACAGCCATCTTGGATTGTCGGCCTTTCCGCCTTAACAAGACCCGGGCCAAAACTTTCCTCCTCGCACCGTCTTGTTCGCTTTGGTTCGTCGTCGAGAGATAACAACGGGGAAATGAACGTTAATTCACTGAAGAAAAAAAAAACCCTTGTAATATTGTGTCGTGTAGTAAGTTGAGTTCGTCGACGCGTTCATTCTTTGTAACACTGAACGTTATAAAGGATATAGATAATAGTAACAAGATGTAAATAAAAAAGACATTGCTGATAAAGGACAAATTCCTTCATAATCTATCAATGGAGTAAATCTTTCGGATTAGCCTTACAAAGTTGGTCAGGGAAAAATGATCGTTTTATGTCACATGTTCGGGTTCGTGTCTCACAACTATAGATTTTTTCCATTTATAACCAAAAATAATGTTAATATTTGCATACATTGACATAAATTTGCTCGACGTTAAGTAAACTCATTGTCCCTAAATCTAGAATGTGAAAAAAAGTAACAGGAAAATAGTGTTAACATTGAAAACAAAAGATAAGAAACGAAACATTCGGACGCAGGAGGACGATTATGGCGCCAAAATCTGACTCGTGGCGGGAAAGTGGACATCCGGCGAGATTCTGGCGGGAAGTGGAGCGCACACCGATGGTCGGACAAACAGCCGCCATTGACGAAATTATCGGCAAACACGACTTGAATATTTGAGTTGTTGTGGGGCCCTGAAGACGCTGGTGATAGTCCCTCCCCTCCCCTGCCCTCCTCTCTCTCTCTCTCTCTCTCTCTCTCTCTCTCTCTCTCTCTCTTTCTCTCTCTGCCTTTTATTCTTTCCCGTTTACATTTTTGAGAGTTCTTGGAATCTTTTTATTTATTGTACACACACACATACACAAATAGTAGACGAGGAAGAAAAATGTCTACTTATATGTACAGTATATTTATCTATAATTTTTTTGTGTTGCCAGTAAGTACATTAAACATACTTTATACACTTATACTAATAATGACTGTATACTGAGGGAGTGAGTGTAAGGCGTATAATGCTGTGAAAGTACCAGACGATACTAACCAACCTAAACTAACCAAATGGAACGAATCCTAATGACGATGGATTAATTTTGGTTAGTTTGCATTGAACTTGATTTATTTTACAACAATGTACACTTGCGACTGTTTATGTCATCATAGAAAACGGATACGAATTAATGCCTAACGAAAGCATTGTATATTAGTGTTGTACAGTACTTGACGCTGGTGTCGGATATTATCACGAAGAGGAATATATGAATCAAATCAGAATACAAACCACACTTAATTCTCGGCATTGATGTTGCGTTGGTGTTATATTAAACTCTAATATAGAATAAATTGATAAAAGTCGGGTAGAAATCAGGGTTTGGAATCTGGACGTCACTAAAAGCATCTGTACTTACTGTTAACTGGCGCTATACGAATCCATCGATTTGTAAGTGGAGTTTTAGTGTGATTTCGACGCTACTTTGATTTTGAAAGTTATATTGTGTGAGCTAATTATGTCCGTTCTTATATGTCCAGTTACGAGGAAATTCAACGCATGAATCTTTGACACAATTCATCTCTCGAGAATTTCGCACCAGGAGCAGTGGAGTGGGGGAGAGAGGGAGGGAGAGAGGGACGAAGAAGGGAGAAATATAAGGGGGTAGGGAGGTAGGGGGTGAGGTCATCCCTCCTCCCTGGCGCCAAACACCCTCACTACTCCACTGATTACGAGTGTTTTTATCCACACACTCCCTTACATAGTCATTTATAAGACAAATAATAATGAAAAATAACACCACATACAAAATCTTAAGCGATTGAGTAATTTTATTTCCATATCTACCTCATCATCGCTTTTGTTTTGCCCTGAAACACAAAACAATTTAGCTGTTATTACGTATTTCCTGTGCTTCAGTAGCTTAGCCCTGTGATCACTTTACTTTACTTTTATTTACATACTTTACTTAGCATTTCCTTAATTAATAAACAGCAGGTAAAATCAGATATAGAACTTAAGTGTAATTATTAGTGAAAGTTTATTTAGCTGGGATCAAAACTGTTAATAAAAGGTTTTCTCAATAATATTAACGTTAAAATAAAATAATATACAATGGCTGTATACCGTAGGAAGATATACCGTTGATGATATAGTAAAAACAGTAATGATAAAGAAGGCGGAGGAGGAGTCTGGCAATGGCTTATGGCGCGCGGCAGGTAACAAATGTAAGATAATTAACCTTAAACCATCACACACCTGTAGAGATAAATAACCACTATAAGAAGGACTACACTGTTATGCAGATTAATTTATATACACCAAACAACTTATTACAGTTATTGATTCTACATAACATTAGTGGGACATGTTCCTAGGTGGGTTGTACAGCTCACCTGCCATCGCGGTTGTTAGCAGAATACCCGCGTTTAGCTGAGGCTTAACTGCTTGTTTATGTTGACTGGAGCCATACTGTCTGCCATTACCGCTTTTTTCCTGTGTGCCACGTCTCTCACAGTCCACTCTTGTTTCCAGTAATATAAACAACAAAAGCAGAGATGACTTATTTTTGTGTTGTAAAAAAATAAGTTGAGTGATATTTGTCCCTGCTGAGGCTGAGGTGACCGATGTATCAGTCAGTCAGGTGGAGCTAAAGAGGACATGTGGCAGAGTATCATTCATCTTAAGATGGTGTGATGGGTCGTGTTGTGACAGTGGCCAACTGGACGTCATACAGGAAACACCCTCACCCTCCCTCATCCACTCGTACAACTCTTAACCAAATCGTAAGTTATTGATCTCCTTAGAGGTGTTCACTAACAGTCCCTTGAGTTATATGTACAGTATTAGTAGATAGAAGAAGTGTCTATATAGTGACTTATCAATAATACCCTAAGATCATCGTTAATTCTCAATACAGTCACAGTTGAGAATGTATAATGCTATAGTGATGAGTCAGATGTATAATACTAGTGATGAGTCTGATGTATAATACTAGTGATGAGTCAGATGTATAATACTAGTGATGAGTCTGATGTATAATACTAGTGATGAGTCAGATGTATAATACTAGTGATGAGTCAGATGTATAATACGAATGATGAGTCAGATGTATAATACTAGTGATGAGTCTGATGTATAATACTAGTGGTGAGTCAGATGTATAATAAATGAATATATGAATAATAGTGGCATTAAGTTATACAGTTCTTTCAGTTATTTCACCCGCTGAGGTTATAAAGGTCTTTCACTATTAGGCTCAGGGGAATAAGGACAAAATTAGCAGTGAGAGCGAAGGATCCGAAGGCTCTTGAACGAAGCTGATTCGGAATCCTTATCTCGTTCGCAGGTGAAACACTCGCCAACCCGCCTGTGTGTTGTTGTTGTTGTTGAGGACAGACAGGCAGGCAGGGTTGAGGACGCCAGGCACCATGGACGTCGTGATGGACGCTGAGGACGCAGGTGTACAGGTGTTCCAAGATGACTCCCTCCCACAGGATGTCATGGTGAGTATCCTGACAGCTCCCATTATGGTATGTTTGGCTTGAGGTTAGTGGTGGAATGTCTCGTCACCTCCAGGCCAAAGGGTGAAGATTGATGACAGATGTTCGTGGCGTATAGTGTATTTACCTAATGTTTATTATGTTTACAAAGTGTTGCATCGTCATCATTCTGTAGTTCCATCACCCACTACACCAAATAAGGTACATTGTTGGTTAGAAGTTGATTTAGAAGTAGTAAGAGAGGTCAAGATACGAAAAGTGATATAAGAAACAAACTCTTATTCGAACCTGATTCAGTGTTGGAGTTGGGGGAGGAGGGGGGGGGGGTGGTATTTGTGATTCAAGCAGTGGTTTATATACTGACAGCTGGTTGTGTATATGGTAAACCTTTAAATACGTTATTGTCACAAACTGTCGACATGTTATGGAATTTTGTGTTTTCGTTCGTTAAGTTCAGTGTTCATTTAGTATAGGTTTTCGTAACAGTGATTCTTGATACAGACTCTTCAGTGAGACAAATTACGTATTTATGAAGTATAATACAGCTTCTCAACCCTTTCAGTCGTATTATGTACCGTTACGAAAGTTTCATTTGATCAATTAAGTTTTATAGACAATAAGTAGAGTAAGTACTTGTCTTAAATTAATGTTAAAGAATAAACACTATTTAATACAGTTTCTGAGTTGTAAACAAATTACCACCGAAGTGAACCCCATCGTTTTGAGCCATTGTAACTGGTCATATGATTCTAGTGACGCTTTTTATACACAGTTTGTTTGTTATAGTTTGGGTTTGTTTATATCTCGTAGCTCACCCCTTCAAAAGCTGATGTAATTTATCACTGATTCGACCAACATAGCCATCTGGAAGACCATCGATGTTTTGAGTCTAATGTGGATATTGGATAATGTTGGGCAAATACCACGTTCTGGTTACATATGGATAAATTAGGGTCTAATCTAGGGGTCATTATGTCAGATAAGGATAAGTTGGGGGTCTAATCCACGTCTTACTATGTTAGATAAGGATAACCTGGGGTCTAATTCAAGGGTCACTATATCAGGTATGGATAAGCTAAGGTCTAATCCAGTGCTAGGGAAGGAGACCCATTCTAAAATAGTTCTCAACACCTCCAGGAGCTTCTGTACGACAAGAGCGCCCGCCGTTCATCCCTCGGGGCCGACTCTTTACTAGACCAGGACTTCAGCGAGGAGGGGGCGTTGGAATCCGAGGGCGGCGCCACACTCACGCCCTTGGAGACCATCCTCGGCCTCCAGTACGCTGACGATATCTTCACTATCATGAAGGTGACGGAGAGCCAGTACCACCCAAGGCACTGTATGGCGGACCAACCTCAGGTGAGTGTCGTGTGTGTAACCTCTAATTAACGGACTATATAGAGATGAAAGTCCGTTATATAGAAGGTCCGTTAGATATGAGACCTCTATTTAACGGACAAAACCGAGATGGGCGTCCGTTATATAGTAGAGGGTCCGTTAGATGTAAAATCTCCATATAACGAACTATAGAGATGAAAGTCCGTTATATAGAAGGTCCGTTAGATATGAGACCTCTATTTAACGGACTATATAGAGATGAAAGTCCGCTTTATCGAGGGTCCGTTGTGGAACCTCTATATAACGGATTGTATGGAGAGAAGTCCGTTAAATGGAGGTGTTGCTGTACTTAGGTTGTAAATCAGAAAAACGAAATGTTATGTTGTACTCAGGGGAAAATTATGTACTCCCGTGTCCGACTCAGGTTTACATAGATACATCACCACAAATACAAACACAGGCTTCAAGGAGAGGTACACCTAACCTAACCTAACTATAACCTAACCATAACCTAACTATAACCTAACCATAACCTAACCTATAACCTAACTATAACCCTAACCTAACCATAACCTAACTATAACCTAACCTATAACCTAACCTAACCATAACCATAACCTAACCATAACCAAACTATAACCTAACCTAACCTATAACCAAACCATAACCAAACCATAACCTAACCATAACCTAACCATAACCAAACTATAACCTAACCTAACCATAACCTTTGACCTTGTTATCTACAGGTGACGGAGTACATGAGGTGCACGTTGGTTCACTGGCTCATTAAGGTCAACCATCAGCTCAACTTTGGCCCCGAGACGGTGTTTGTGGCTGTCAACTTGGCCGATCGTTTCTTGGCCGTGACTCCCTTGGCCCAGGACTGCCTTCAGCTCCTTGGGGTTGGAGCTCTTTTCGTCGCGGCCAAGATGGTAAGTAGCTGAGGTGTTTACTGTTTGATTACATTTTCTCCCCCTCCCAGTCCTAATCAGCCCCCTCCTAGTCCTAATCGGCCCCCTCCTAGTCCTAATCAGCCCCTCTGGTCCTCTAATCAGCCCCATAGCCCCCTCCTAATCAGCCCCCCTCTCCCAGTCCTAATCGAAATCCCTCAGTCCTAATCGACCTCACACACACACTTGCCTTCCCTCTCCTTAGTGTAAGTGGTAATCCCAGTAAATTAATTCGGTTCCCGGTACGGTACAGGAGGAGTGCGTGTTTCCCAGTATCAGCAAACTGGTGACAATATGTGGCGGCATGTACAAACATCACCACTTTCGCCGGATAGAGGTTCTGATCCTGTCTAAACTGAAGTAAGTTGGTGGTGATGATGGTTGGTTGGTGGTGTAGGGGGTGTGGTAGTGGTGGTGGTTGTTGTTGTTGGTGGTGGTGTAGGGGTGTGGTGGTGTAGGGGGTGTGGTAGTGGTGGTTGTTGTTGTTGGTGGTGGTGTAGGAGTGTGGTGGTGTAGGGGGTGTGGTAGTGGTGGTGGTTGTTGTTGGTGGTGGTGTAGGAGTGTGGCGGTGCAGGGGTATGGTGATGGTGATAGTCTAGGGGTGTGGTGGTGGTGGTAGTATTGTGGCGTAGTGGTGACAATGGTGATATTTTGTTTCCTTCTAAAGTTATGTGTGTTCTACCTGTAGGTATTTAAGTTATATGTAACACCTGTAGACACTCCATTAATTGCTTGTACCACCTGTAAACACCATAATAATTGAGTATACCATCTGTGAGTCACTAAATAACCAGCTGTATATTCCCAGGTTCGCTCTATACACACCCACCAGCTGGTACTTCTTGGACCACCTAGCTCTGAAGGCTGTAATGGTTGGCACAATTGACAGGTGAGTTATCCCTCCTAATTAGCGTTTATTCACAGGTAATTTAATTAAGTTTTCAGTCACAGGTACAGTAAACACCACCTAATACGAGATTTAATTCCTGTAATCCCTGTCCATTATTGAGAGGATTCTGTTATTGAGAATATCCGTTATTGAGAAGTCCGTTATTGGGAGGGTGTACTGTATCCATTACTTTATTAAGAAGTCCGTTATTGGGAAGGCTTACTGTAATACAATTCACTGTTTATTGTCAATTATTCATGGGTGTCATTATCACTGCTAGTATGACACTGTAACACTGTTGTATTACTGTAATGCTGTATCTTCCGTTTACCGTTTGTGCTGTATCACTGTAAATCACCGTTCAGTGTCTTGGGTTGTCACTGTTTTTGCTTTATCACTGCGTCATTGTTTTGATTCACTGTGTACCACTATTTTTCTTCACCACTGTACCACCATTACTGTACCACTGTCTCCCTTCACCACTGTACCACCACCAATAAACCACTATCTCCCTTCATCATCGTACCACCACCAATATTTCCCTTCCACCACTGTACCACTGTCTTCTTCACCACTGTACCAGGCGAGTGATGAGCGTGTCCCGGTACGTGGCGGAGACGTGCTTGAGTAGCTACCGGGTGACCCAGTACCTGCCCAGTGTCCAGGCGGGGGCGTCCCTCACCCTGGCCGTCACTCTGGTAGCCAACCCTAATCTCTCACACACCCTACATCACCTGTAAGTCACCCGTAAGATACTATTAAGTCACCATCCAGGCACTATTAAGTCACCATTTAAGATCACCATCTACAACCTTAACACAGTAACTCCTACACATGTAAGTCACCAGTCAAAGTACCAAGCAAAGTCATCATGATTTCCTTCCAGCTCATTGGTGGAGTTTTCAAACCCAAGATTTTTACAGTTTGTTAATTTGATGAGTTTATGAAGGTGAAAAAAAAAAGATGTTTGTTTGTCTGTTTACATGTTTGTGAGATTCAGATTCGTGTATCCGAAGCATTTATGGTAAAGAATAATGTATCGGTCTACTGCTTCGGGTTCACTAGTGTGAATCTCTGGGTTCGTGGTTCAGGAGGAGAGGTGACATGACTTTTGTGGGTGACTATAATAAATATGCATTATCTATGAACATGAATCAATGTAAACTTGTACGGCAATTTTACTAAACATTTATCTATCCATTTAATCAATCTAATCTATCTAATCTAGCCATATTATATCTAAATTCAAAATATCACTGGCGCAGGATGTGTGAGTTGTACAGCCCGGCCGAGCGAGAGGAGATCACCATGTGCACCTCCCTCATGACGCACTACATGGCGCCATTCTTGGAGTCTGTCTCTACCGACGCCGCTACCCAGAACACAGCAGCGGGCCATCCTGACACACCATTACACGGCCCTCAACCTCCTGGCGACCATGATCAAGAAAAGTCACAGTCTTCAGCCCATCACACCAGCCAAGACGTCACATCACACTAGGTCATGGACTACAAGGACACACACAATAGTTAGGACAAACATCATGGCGGAATTCTGTGTTGTCGTATTTCTTAGTTTGAAACCTTTAGCTTCTCGGTGGAAATGTTAGCAAGAAATGTTTTTGAATTTATGCATCAAATGTTCGGTATGAGAGGAGAAAATATTGGATAGTTATTCAGATTTGTAGATTTTTTTTCTTCTCGTTATAACCGTTCCTCTACAGCTGTGGTTCTGCTACTCGCCTCAGATTTAATTTTCAACGGAAGACAGAACATGCGGGTCGTAGCCTAATACTATCTGGGGAGACGCGCGCCAACACCAACCAAGAGGCCCAAGACTATTATTGAACCTATAGAGATGACAGTTAAGCGGTATAGCAACACCTTCAGTATTATAACGAGTCCGTCTCGAACTACTGTAAATATTTCTTAACGTCATCCACCTTGAGTGGTTATTCATACTTTCTTCACTGTTGTTCCGTTAACAATAGTGATGAACTTTACTGTTAAAACTCGACTAACGCTTTAACTTAGTGGACGACTGATCTTCATTGTTTCATGATTAGTTTAGACAATGTTTTGTAAGTATGTCACGACTGTTGTGTGTTAAGTTGTGTAGTTGTTGCTTGGACAGGTTACTGCGTACCTCTGGCGGAGTTGCGGGAAGCTATAAGGATTTGAAGCTTTATTATTATGAATTTACGCGAGTGCACCGTATAGAGCCTTGAGCAGCACGGGTGCATGGGAGACATACCCCGAACGACTAGTAAAATTTATTACTTACGGGATTTTGTGTTATGTTGACAGTGTGTGTTTATATATTGGAGACTGGCGTTATGTTGGTGGTGCTCCTTTACGTACTACATGTGTGTGTGTGTACGTGTCAGGTGTTTAAGGCCCATTGCAGCAATAAGTTGTGTAAACTGACCCTCGTTCTCAAGTTTACTACAATAACTTTCGCTATGCTGACCCCCTACCATACTGAGTGACCGACCCTCCATTACGTGCTCTGGCTGGGATGATCGCTACCTTGGGTTTACTCGTGCGGGGGTTCCACAATCAACCACGAATGATGAACGATATCTTAGTGAGTCTCCTGAGGTTTTCCTGTAGTCAGACTAACAACAATTGGAGCGTTAATGACCGACTTGCATTAGAGATACACGGAAGTGGTATACGGATGAACGAATAGCAAAATCAAGCACTAGACCCGAGAACGAATACATCGACACAACATGGAAACAACAATCTAAATATTTTTGGTAAGACGTTTGTCTACATTTCGAACACTTGAGTTATGGCATACAGATTCTTATGTTACAGTATATTTGAGATTAATTCAGCAATAGACATATGAATAAATGTATGTTGTTGACTTCTCGAGACTGAATGATCGTGATATAAACTTCTGCCTGCAAGGAGTATTGGAATGTAACGCCACAAAGCACAGCCGAAAAGTGTTACCACCAGAATTTTAACTGCAATGCATTTTCCCGTTCTTTCGTTATAACGTTACTATCGTACTGTACGTTGTCTTAATGATGTTTTGTACGTCTTAAAGCAGTTCAGATTGGTCTAGTCCCTGCGGTGTGTTGAGGTTCGGTTCAGGTAATAGGCCTATAAGTAAGACTGGCCACTCGCTCGCTACCATTTGTGCCTACGATATAACTGGCTGTGATTATTTTTTTTTAACGTGTCTGTAGGTTTAAGATATTATTATGTTCAGATTTTGTTTTGGCTATTAATATATATATAAATGGAAAAAAATTGCATGTTCCTATAATTATAGTAGTGGAGTTTATTTCTGAACATATAATTTATTTTTATATATTTAAGATGAATTTGTTCCTATAATTATTGTATTGTATTGTAGTTTATATCTGAATATAGAATTTATTTTTGTAGATCTAAGATGAATTTAAATAACATATATACATTAGTAATATACATATTATATATATTTATCTATACTAACCTATTACTAAATAACTATACTGTGAAGAAAATATAATAATATACTTTAACATCAAGGACTTTCTCTTATTAACTTCATTTATCATTATTTTAACATTTTATTCTGACTTAAGTAACACGAAACGATCAATGAAGTCGTCAGGTAACTTGTCAGGTAAATCTAGAGGTGTGAAACGATGGTAATTAAGATCTTCAGCCAATGGATACTACAGTAGAGTAAAGAACCACTTGTACCCAAACTGAACCTACCTAACAGCGTCTTACCAAGCTGTCTGCGCGTGGGAGGGTGTGGTTGTGGGAGGGTGTGGTTGTGTGTGTGTGTCAGGCTGCACGTAGTAACAAGAATCGTCGAGTAATATATATCACCAGTTCTTGCGGCCATTAGTTAATTATGTAGTAGTTCCGACAGTTTAATTGGCCGTTGGATAGCAAATGGTACTACTCACAAGATGGGATAAGCTGACAACCTCCTCCCTCACACTGTCACTCTTCGCTCCCTCGTATCTCCTTTCCCTTGGCTGTCATTTCAAGATTTAAAAGTAAAAAAAAAAATGAATATAATTGTGTTTTGACGTTTTCTGGGTTGAACTTATTGATTTTTGACTAAGTAGCGGGGAGGAAATGACAACCTGATGGGGGAAAATGACAACCTGAAGGAAAAATAGATTACCTGGTGGGGAAAAAGACAGCCTGAAGGGAAAATTATAGCCTGATATGGACAAAAAAGAACATGATGCGGGGGAAAACTTACAGACTGAAGGGAAAAATAACAGCCTGATGGGGGGGAAAATCTTATAAATATTTCTTTAGTCCCAGTAAAAAAAATCCAACCCTGAATGGTGGTATACACGATGATCTGGTGAACAGGTACTTTTTTTACATTCTTATACCTGTATACAATTGAACATTCTTATACCTGGATACAATTGAACATTCTTATACCTGTATACAACTGAACATTATCTCCAGGTGATCCATAAAAAGAAATAATAAAAAACAAATATATTACCTGTTACTTTTAATAAGACTGGTAAACAACGACTCAACCCCCCCCCCCAAGCACAACAAGGTCGCTTACAACTCGAGTCATCAACTTTGTCTCAGTTCAGGTACAGTTGCGATGTGACAAAATTCCCACTTGGGCTATATATATCTATAACATCTATTTCAGGGTCATATAGAAATAGTATATGATTGTTCTATATATAGTAACTGTGTGATTTGTATTATATATTGTGTCTAAGCAAAAAAAAACAAAAAAACTAACTAAAAAATAAAAAAATTGAGAACATATATTAAAATTCCACTCCCTTGAGTTAATGATCTTTAAGTACTTATATACATGACAGATATTAACAAGTGTCCAAGGAATATTGTTCGTAAGTGTACCTGAGATGGGATGGGTGGGGGATAGGTAGGAGGGAGGGGATAGGTAGGAGGGAGGTAGGTAGGTAGGAGAGGAGGGGTAGGTAGGAGGGAGTGGGTAGGGAGGGATAGGCCGGAGGGAGGGATAGGTAGGAGGGAGGTGAGTAGGTGGGTATGGGTAGGACGGAGGAGGAGAGGGGGTGGTGGGAGGTAAGTAGTTAACGTGGTAGATACTGAGACACACCGACTGACCAGATTTTGTCATGTTAGCGCCTCAGGCAAGGTCAACAAACCGTGGATACAATTATTTTTATTAACCTAAAAAACAAAACAAAAACTATACTGTCGATTTCATTTCTACTTGTTGATGTTAAAAGGTCACTTAATGGTCTCTCTCTCTCTCTCTCTCTCTCTCACTTTTTATCTCTCTCTCTCTCTTTATTGAATTACACCTGTGTCCTTGTGTGTATTGTTAGTTCATTTATGTCTCTCTCGCTTTCATGGGATCACCTGAAGATTAGCTCTCCCCCCTCTCTCTCTCTCTCTCTCTCTCTTGACTTAGGTTAGGTTAGGTTAGGTTAGGCAAGGACATGTACGTGTACGTGTCTCAACTACTCACACTGCTTCGGGAATAGAGGAACAAAAACAATGGAACAAAAACAATAGCGAACAGTTAAAATATGAGAGAGAGAGAGAGAGAGAGAGAGAGAGCCTTTGTTACCTTGATTCACAGTTAGTAGAATTACCTGTTAATTAGACACTTTAATTTAGGGTAGGTTAGGTTAAGTTAGGTTAGGATGTGTTAGGTTAGGTTAGGTTAGGTTAGGTTAGGTTAGGTTAGCGTTAGGGTGTTTAATCATCAGGTGACATTAACAGTGATAAAATCCAGATTATGATAGGTGTTGTTGTTGTTGTTGTTGTTGTTGTTGTTGTTGTTGTTATTGTTGTTGTTGTTGTTGTTATTGTTGTTATTGTTGTTATTATTGTTGTTGTTAATATTGTTGTTGTTGTTATTGTTGTTGTTATTATTGTTGTTGTTATTATTGTTGTTGTTATTGTTGTTGTTATTATTGTTGTTGTTGTTATTGTTGTTATTATTGTTGTTGTTATTATTGTTGTTGTTGTTATTGTTGTTATTATTGTTGTTGTTAATATTGTTGTTGTTATTGTTGTTATTATTGTTGTTGTTGTTATTATTTCTTTAATCCAACAATAATGTGATATTTTTTTCTTACTTTTATTTTTGTATGAATACAAAAATGTGTCCCTGAGGGCTTGTTTTTTTAATCAAGTATCCTTGTGAGGTTTATTTTTTACTTAAGAGACCATGTAGTAGAGGTTTTCCTACTTAAGTACACTTTAATCTTCCGTGTTCTCTTCCTAGTGTTCTCTCGAGGCATATTTAGAACACTTCGAACACAATCCGAACACTACGAACAACCTATTTCGAACACAACAAGGACAGGAAGACCGCCGCTTTACACTACACACACACACACACACACACACTGAATGGAAATGCTGTCGTGTACCTTCCATGTTAATGATGAACTAGAAAGAAAACCACTTGATATACTTCTTTTGCCTTTATAAACACAAGCACGTATACTGGTTGGTTACTCTCACTGCCAGACCTTCACCTTCCCTAATAACAAGCATTAG